GAAAGGTGAATGCATGTAGATGCTATCAAAGTTGTTTTCATCCAAAAGCAGCGGTACTGACAGTTTTTCAAAGTCTGTGATATATTTGGACCATTAAAGCAGCACTCTATCAGTAGAAATACATGCTTGTATTTGTTTGGATCATGACCTGATTCTTAAAAACTTTTGAGTTTGGTAGTATGTCTTGCTCACATGCATGGTTACCCTATAACTTACGCTAAAAATTGCCTTTCGTTTTAACTCTCATACTGTTACTTTTTGACTTGGCTAAGTGCCTTTCTGATGGCTGAACTTAACATTTCTGTTGCCATATTCACATTCTCATACCCAATTTATTCTTCTCTTTGCAGATCAGGAAAAATGTGATGATGATGAGATGGAGCGACTTTACAAGTCCTTAGAACAAGCGAGCCTGTCTCCCATTGGTGATCGTCGCCTGTCAACAAAGAAGGAGCTTAGGAAGTCATTTATCAAACGCAGCAAAAATCCCTCCATTAATGAGAAACTCCACAAAATTCGAATGCTGAACAGCACATTAAAGGTGAGGTCACAGAGCGAGCAAAAGAAAAATGAAAGAAACAGTTTGGCTGAAAAAAAAGAAGCAAGCCTAGACTTCAGCCAAACTCTAACTACATATTTATTTTAAGCCCCAGAGAATTTGTTAAGATTTTGAAATTGTTTTCTACTTCATTCTGAATACTGATTTGTGTTTTGTTGTTAAATTTGAACTGGAAACTGAGGCAATAGTCAGAAGGGACCTTTCTTGAAGAAGTTCCAGCCCATTTGGAAAATTTAATAAAGAAAGCTTCTCTTAGTTACCTGGAAAACTTGCAAGCTCGGCTGAATGCACTAAACGTGGAAGTCTTAAAGGAAGAGCATATAAAGTACGTTGATGATAAAGGACACGAAAATGACCCTGAGACAAAAAAAGTTTTCCTTATGTGACTGTTGGAGAACGCACAGGATGTGCTGAAGCTATTGTAAAGACCTCCTGTAACTAAAATATTTTAATAACAAAAGCATCCTGCTTTTATGTTGGAAACATATCATGAACTGGAGGGGTGAAGGGCTTCAGGGACATTTCATGAAAGGGCCAGTAAATCTGTCTGGAATATGGGGATTTATGAGGCTGTTTACTCGCCAGCATCAAGCGTCACAGGATTTCAAAGCCTGCTTCTGAATGGTACTGAGGGAAGCAGAAAGCTTAACCGTAACATTTAAATTGTAAGGAGAAGAAAGAATAAATGCAAACCTGGGGCTTCACTTGTTCCTTTTTGTATGTATTAGAAGCAGGGATTGAGTATCCTGTTTGAAGTCCGTGCATTTGGCTTCAGGCATTGTACACTGGAGAAATGCATGTAAAACTTCTATCAGCACAATCATCGATTTGATTATTAGTCGCAACAGGAGGCTTGGCTTTGGCACCCCAGCCTGTGTTAAACTTCCTGAAGATACAGTTGAAAAGATAAGTGGGAATATAGTCATTCTCCCTGTTGTAGGGCTTCCAGGCTCTGTATGAGAACTGGTGAAGTCTCTCCTTAGTATCAAAGAGTCTGTAGAGACATGGTACTGACCATGGCAGTATTCATCTGCATCAGCAATAAGGTGAGCCCATCATGTAACAGAGAGTTAGTTTCAAAAGTATGCTTACTTTATGTGACAGGAGACTAAATATAGAAACAAAAGGCAAAGTTTTCCCCAATAGGAACCTCCCTAACAAATCTATGAACCAGTTAGTACAAAATGGACTTGTATCTTGTGGGACAATCAGTTTCACTGGTATGGAGCTGAATGGAAGCCTAGAAGTCGTACTGCCAGACATGAGCAAGGAGGACAGCTTTGTACTGATTTAGCACAGGAGTATTGTATAAGTTATGATTAGCAGTGTTTATAACCTTAGGCTTGTCTAACAGTTATATTAAATATGGCAAACTCATTTTTGTGAGTGTTCATAATACATAAAATGTGTTGAACTTTTTTGCTTTCTTCAAACTAAGAAATTGGAGTATTGACAAGACAAATATAGCACAGACGTTTTCCCACAGACACGAACAGAGCTCTATATGCAGCAGTGTTTAAGATAGACTCTCTGAAAGGCAAATGCCTGCAGTGGGAAAGTGCCATATCCTTTGCATCAGTGGGATTATGTGTTTTTAAAATCAATTTTCTTGACATATAACATAAGACATGAGATAATTGGAAATGATCTATTGGAAATTTAAAAATCAGGAAAGTTTTGCATCTCATCCATATTTTCTCAGCTTTAATGAAAACCATATTAGTTTGAGACAAGTGATTTATGCAAGATTTGGTGCAATTTTAATGTTGGACTTTTGACTCCACATCTTTAACAACAGATTAATGTTGCTGCCACAATATATCATTAACAAAACATGCTTTGGATAGTTTGGAAGACAGGAAAGCCGTGTGCAAATGCATCACAGGCTTAATGAATGTGGGAAATAGATTTAGTGCTACAGAAAAATTTCACGGCATGGCTTTTTGCCACCAGTTTTGTCTACTTGAAATATTCTTCTCTCCCTTCTGCCTCCCTATCTCCTCTTCTTCTTTTAGGCTAACTGCACATATCTCTGCATCATTGCCAGAAGCCCTTTTACAAGGGCTGGCATGAGGTCTTGAAGGTAGGAACTGTGTAACCCAACATTTGAGCAGGTTTTTGTGTTTCAAAAGTAGCTCAGGCATCACAGGGATTAGTTAATAGTTCATTAGAGTAATAGTGGGATATGGATGTGTGAGCAGCCTATTGCTGCTATCAGGAAGTGTTGTGAATGTGTGGGAGTATTTTCAAGGTGTTTTCAAGGCAACCACTAGCACAGAGTGTCCTCAGGCGTGATGAAACCAGTAGCAGCAGAAGATGGTGAGAACTACTCCATTGCTTTCACACACAGACTGGGGGGATGGAGCCAGGCAAAAGCAGTAAAGCTTTCTTAGTGCAGCATGGTGCCTTTGTTAATTGTAGCTGATAACTAGGGCTCCTCTATCCTGTGATCCTGCATGGATAGGCAATAAGGGCTGGAAAACCAAAGTGGTTTGCCATGTCAGAAAATGTGAGGATATCAATGGATATAAATACCTGAAAGGAGGGTGTTAAGAAGACAGAGCCAGGATCTTTTCAGTGACCCGTGACAGGACCAGAGGCAATGGGCACAAACTGAAATATAGGAGGTTCCTTCTTAACATCAAGAAACACTTTTTTACTGTGAGCTCTGGCACAGGTTGCTCAGAGTCTGTGGGGTCTCTCTCCTTGGAGATATTCAAAGGCCATCTGGACATGGTCCTTGGCAGCCTGCTCTAGGTGTCCTTGCTTGAGGAAGGGACTTGGACCAGATGACCTTCAGAGGTCCCTTCTAACCTCAACCATTCTGTGATTCTGTGACATAAAGGGTCTTAGGCTCCCTATACCAGTGACTACTTAATTCTTATGATTGAACCAAGGTGCCTGCAATACATGGTCTGACCTGCTCTTGTCTGGAAGTAGAGGCCAGATTTGTTAGTAGTAGCTGGCGGCAGATACATTAGCAGCCACATGTGCTGTATTCACCCATAAACTCTGCTGCCAGTGCACAGATTATATCCAAAATTACCTTCTGTCTAGCTCTCAGAGACATTTATGATGTGGCCAGGGAATAAGTATTTTTTGAGAAAGGTGGAATTGGTGTGAATTACAGGAATACAAGTTGTTTCTAGTTTCATGCAAGTACTAACTTGTTGTGAGACAGTATAACAATGTTTGCTAAGATTCCTCTAAAATAAAAAAAATCTACATGAAATCATAATCTTCCCTTCAACTGGGACAAATTTCTGCTGTGGGCTTAACTTTGATGGTCTACATCCTGAAAATGGGAACAAGTTTCCAGGACGATGGATAATTGGCCATATCCTTGTGACAGGGTTCTCTAATGTCCCCAGAGTGTTTTTGTTACGGACAATGAGCTTGACAGTTTCTGTGGGTATTAACCACTTGTTCTCTTCCTAGTGTAAGGAACACGACCTGGCCACAATTAATCAGTTGCTGGAGGACCCAAAGTTGACAGCAATGAAGTACAGAGAATGGAGGAACACGAACATCATGCTGGTCCAGGATATCTATCAGCAGCAGGAGGTCCAGGACATGTCCACAGAGAATAGTGAGGAGCAAGAGATGACTCCACAGCCTATTGCTGAAAGTGCTATCTGAGGCCCTGGTTCGACAGTTCATGGCAAGATTTTTCCCCGCAGATTTTCACTTACAGGCACTTTAAACTGCTGCATTTTGAGATTTGTTTTTTTTTTTTTTTCCAAGTGTTCTTTGAAAGGAAAACAACCTCTTCTCCAAAGCTTTAATTCCTCTTGCAGAATTTATTTCATGTGAGGGTGAATCCCCCAAATTAAAAAAGCATGCCTGAACATGGACTGCATACCTAAGAAGACTATTTATGAAGCAGCAAAGAGTATGTCCGCCTCCTGGAAGTCACAGAACTGTATAAAATGAACTGTATAAGTGCGAGATCCTTGGGGTGGTTTTAACCATGTAACTTACTGTTAAAGGAAGCTACAACAATACCAACAGGATGTAGTCTACTCTCTACTTTTTTACCCTGTAAGGTAACCTGATGTGTGCATTTTCATCGCTACATTCAATTCATTTTCACCACTCTACTTGTTTAAACTGAGAAAAACAGAATAGTAATTATGCATGAGTTTATACTACAGACAGCTGTCAGGCACCCAGTTTGTGTTCTGCCTGATTTTTTATGAGTTTCAAATTTATTTATGGACTAGACCAAGGTACTGTCTTTCTACATGAAGAAGAGAAGGTCCCTCAATGTTTGCTAACATGTAATTTTCTCTTCAGTGTGGCAGCTAATGCTTCAACAAGTTTAAACTTTTCTTATGGGCTTGGCAGAATTCCTTGGAAGATTATTCTTTCTTATTTTTGACAATTATTAATACATAAGGTACAAGTTCATCTCAGATTCCTACCTAGGATGGTGATCAAGTTCACAAGACAGAAGCTAAATAATTAAATTCCTAATGTGGACCTGAAAGTGTAAAACATAGCTGCAAATATTTTTGTAAATATATGTCATTTTATGGCTTATATGAATGTGATTATGTACTGTGTATATATATTTTATTTATATATTTATATATGCTGAATTTTCTAATGTAGATAGGCATACATGGACCAGACCCACTGAGATGAGTGTGCTTACAGGTTGACTTGAAATGCCTCTTTGTTTTTTGTTCCATTATGAATCACAGTAATGGCTCTACAGCTTACCATAGGAGATATGCTGTAGCATTTTCTTGAAAAGTTTTTGTAGAAAGTTTCAGGATTACCCTTTGGGCAAACAAAAAAACATATGTTAAGAGATTTTGCTGCTGGATCATAAATTTTTTTTCTTTCATAGTCCTCAGTACAAGGTTTGGGTTTTTTGCCTTCCCATCTTCTGCATGTGTACAAGTATGAGGAACTTTGCAGAGAGCTGAATTTTGAAAAGCAAGAATTAGCCCACTAGTCTCAAATTAATGCCATTACAGGAACTGTGGCAATCTTCATTTCTGTTGGTTATCTTGTAAAGATATTCTTTGTCACTAGTTTTTAACACAGTTTGTCTTTTAAAGCAAAATATACTATACAGATGCAGCCATATTTGCCTGTCTTTATACATTGTTTTATCATAGCTTGATTGAAAAAACAAAATCGATAGTGTTAGTGGGCACATGTGAAATCTTTTCCACCTGTGTAGTGATGTCTCTCTTGATATTGCATTTTTAATACTCAGCAGCTTTCCTTTTAAAATAAAGACGTGGAATTATGTCCCAATGCATCCAAAAATGGCAGTTAAGGCTGTGTTGAGTGTGAGAACTGAGGAGCAGATGGTAAGCTATAAGAAAGGGAAACAGAAGGAAGAATGTAGGTTCCTTTGATATAGGCTTTAATGGGAGAGAGTCAGGGGAAATGGGGGCTGGTGGAGTGGAGAAGCAGGGCTGTGCTTGGGATAACATCACTGCCTCAGGTGTAAAAGGGTTTAGGAGTGTGAGGGTAAGAGCTGATACTGGGTCAGGACTTTATAATTGGGGCTAATCTGCTGGTGGTGGACAAATGTCAGCTGAGACCTGGAAGTGGGTGACAATGACTAAATGGGGAAGGGAAGCAGACTTAAAACCCAGGTTGGTTAAAAAGCTATTGTTTTTGGGGAATTGTCATATGAGTGGTGATTGCATCACTTCAGTAATTCTAACTAGAAGTTATCTCGATACCTGTTGCCATTTGGTTTATGGTAGCCACTTCCTAAAAATTGAGCCCATTTTAAGGTGTTTTATCTTTCACTGTTCCCAGAAGACACTCTGGACAGAGGACATCTGTGAATGTCCCACTTATAAATGAAATTCTTCAAAGCAGATGCGTAGGTGGGAGAGGGACAGCCCCTGAATTTGACATGTTGTCAATTAACTGCCAAACACACACTGAAAATTAGGAGTGTAGGGATTAATCTGCTTGGTCCATCTCGATTTTAACTACTTGGTGCTATGCAATTCATAAATAATGGAGGTCAAACTGAATGTACACTTCAGCTTTTCTCTTGCAGGTGCAGACCATTCAGTTTCTCAGGAAACAAAGCATGTAAACACAAAAACAATTTCAACAAATTTCTGTGTGTTCAAAAGAACAAGTGTGTGAGTTTTGTGCAAGTTCAGGGCTGGGATCCTATCTCCATTCTCTTCAGCTACTATTTAGATGCAAAACAAATGGAAAATTTGGAAAATGTGAAGTGAAAATTGTAGTAGAACAGGATCCATTTTCCAGCACTGCTAATTAATGTAACATTTTACACCTGGTGCTGGGTTCATCACAAGGGGCTGTGCAGCAGTGTGAAAGCCACAGCTGGAGAAAGAGGTGTGCACAGGACAACAGCTACAACTACTGGGTGCAGCAGGGAGCCACCTCGGCAGGAGAAACTTGGACAACTCTGCTCTGCTCAGTGATACTTGGGGTAAATGGTATCTATTGGTCTGAATTTGGAAGGCCTGCGCTACTGACTCATATGGTAGTGAAACCGCATCCCTTGTGAATGTCTGAAAGTCTTTAACCAACTGCCTCATGGGACTTGTTTTATGTACTTTTTCAGGAGAAAATGTGTGGGAGTGGATGTGTGCGTGTGCACACTTATTCCCTTGTCCCAAAGCCTTTTGGTATTGGTGCTGCTATTGGTCCAGTTATGCAGATTTGGGAGTAACTATTGACAATATCTAATTTCAGCTATTTCTGCAGTGTATCTCTCTGGTGTCTTTTCTGGAAATCAAATGTCTCTGTTTTGGTGGTGTAGATCTCATGAGCTACAAGAATGATCTGGGATTGCATTTCCTTTCCTAAGATGGGAGAGTTTTCATGTGGGGACAGTGAATCCCTTCTGCGTCTAGTTCTGATTATTTACTCGATACTGGATTTCACCTGAAACAGGAATAAACAGGAACAAATTATGTGCTGCAACCTTTCTCCCCCCCCAACCCCACCCCTTTTTCCCCAGATATTTATCTTTTAGGAGAAAACCTTCCTGTTGAGAGAAAAAGCTGTTCTGGGACAGGCAGAGAGGGGAAGAAAAGAGGTGGTATTTGATTTAAAACTATGTAGAATTTAAGAATTTAAAATTATTTCTAACTAGGAAAAATTATGGGCATGCTGTGTCTATTGTGTGAGCCTGTAAGCTTACATGTCTATTACAAATATAATATAAAAAAACTGTATTTTTAAACTCTTAAAGTAGCAAGACAGTCCATGGAAGCATACCTCTGTGAGGAACTCCATGTACTGTGGTTGAAGTTTGGGGCTTAGGCTTTTTTCTTTTGTTTTGCTTATTTGGTGGTACAAAAGTGGTCATTTGCAACGAGAGTCTGGGCTTACTTCATTTATATGAGACATGTCTCCCTGTTAAGAGGAAACCAAAGTGGTTTTGTTGTAGTAATAGAGCCAAAGTGGTATTTCCTGTTTTGTGAGGGGCATTTGAAAACAGCAGACATTTTAAGATGTCAGTCAGCATTTCCTTGATGGCTTGAAGATTTATCCTATTTTGGTCTGCTCCAAGCTGTCACATCCTTGCATTTTTTAAGAAGCAGCTTCATTATTAACTGAAAAACTGAGGTTAAAAAAAAAGGAAAAACAGAACAGAAAAGCTTTGAGCTAGAATCAGGCTGTCCATTCTCTGTCCATAAGGGTAACAGGAGCTAATCTTGCCAAAAGCTAGGCATTTTGACACTGAAAAAAGATTGTCAGGTGTTGAGGAGAGTACTACACTCCTTGAAATTTGCTATGGGAGAAGTTCCAAGACCTGGAAGAATTAATATTTTTCTAATTTATTTCCTCCTGGTAAAAATCCAAAAGGAGTGGCTTGCAAGCTCTCAGAAAGTTATAAATGAAATATGCATGTAATTCATTGATAGTTCATCAGCCTTGGTGTATTACCTTGAAATGATTGACTGTAGATGACTCAGCCTTTAATGGATAAAATCCATTTATTTGGGAAACCATGGTGTTCGAGGCTTATGCACCCCATCTGGCCCACATGAGGTCCATTTTGAGGACGTAGGTGTATGGCATTTCTATAGGGCAAATAGCTTACGTCATCAGACCATAGCCTAGGAACCATGTGAAATCTAACATTCCCTGTGTCCTAGACGCTTTAGGACCTACCCAAATTATTCTGACTCTTGAAGTTGCTTATGGAAGTTTTACCTTCTCCCACCTAAAAATAAAGAAAAGAGGATATGAAAATATGTCTTTCACTCAAGAGAAACAAGCTCTAGTCTAGCAAAGATTCAGGTAAGTCACTTTATTTATGAATGTTCAGCAAAATAACTCACCTGATGAAGTGCCATATGTGCATACTAATAGCAGAGCTCTTGTGCAAAGCTTTCAGTGCTGAGGACTGGACAAAAGGAGCAATGGGAGTGTCCATTCCATTACCCTTTGTGTAGTCAGGGAAAGCCATGAATAGAGGAGTATTTGCAAGGATGCCTGTCAGGCAGGGGGAGGGCCTGCAGCACCATTAAATTACATGGAATCCCAATTTGGTATTTTATCTGCTAAGACTATTTTTTTTTTTTCACTGGTTTCAAACTTGAAGTACAGTGTTTGCACTCAGTGCTGCCTTTTTACTGCTTGTTGCCCACACATGTGACTTGATTTTAATGGAA